CTCTTTCCTGCTCTTCTTTTGGATTTCAGACTACCTAGTCCTATAGTCTGAGAGGGGAGGACAGGGAGGGACTAGTTTACGTGAACTGAGCACATCGTGGTCCAAGATGAGTAGAAAATTCTAGAGGTGATACCAAAAGCAGCAGAGCCCCTCAGCATCCTATGGAGAATGCAAAGCGTCCAAACAGTTGAGAAATGTTTATAGTAGCTTTTCTTTTCAACCGTTCAAAGCCACCCCTCTCAAGGGAATGCCCGAGACTGGACTGTTCTAAGGACCTTAAACCCTGCAAATCACAAGTAGATTGACCAGGATGTAGCATTACTTAGCAATGCAGAAATTGCCTTGTGCAGACAGCCCACAGTGTCCAGTTTGTGCAGGGGTCTGCCATTTCTTTCTCAGAGATTTTCTGGGGTATTTACACAATGACCTAAAACCCGATGTATACATGTTGAAGAATTCTTGAACAACAGTTAACAATTCTTAATAGTGTTATAGATGTTGACAGAGCACACAACAGCTTAAAAAATAAACAAAACAAAACAAAAAACAAAAAAGAGATCCATATTTGTAAGCAGAAGTGGAGTGTCTGTCCTTTTGGAACTCCGCGTATGCTCTGCTAGGAGAAAATTTTGAGATGCTAACCTATGGAGTTCAATTTCCTTCATGTCCGATGATCTCAAAAACTGCAGGATTTGGCAGGAAGCCAGGCCAAATAGCTTTCATGCATGAAGTCAATGCAGACCAGATGCTACACTTTTCACTGCAGGCATTTATTTCTCATTAGTATTTTCTCAATAAAACTCCATTGCTTATCAGAGTACAACTTCATACCCAACTGGTACAAGATGCTGTATTTACTTTCTCATAACTCATTTTCACTGTGTTAAACTGTCCCTGGAAGCATTTTGCAGCAGGATTCTCTGCATTCTTACTTAATATGCTCAGTAGGAACACTCCTTGGCATCACACTTTTGAATGGGCCTAAGCCAGAAACGGATCTTACCATTTTTCTCCAATTGCCTTAATGAAGAGCTTTGTGTTAAACCCAGTAGCACAACACAGTCTGCTGTTATCTGTTGTATCTTCCTCTAAGCTGCTGGTTTTGTTAACTTTGAGTTGAGATATCAGGCTTATAAGGTTTTGAGAATTTTCTGCTCCCACTGATAGCAATAGAAAATGAGGACAGCAAGCACTAGGCTAATCTGATTCTAAGTTTAACACCCCCACCCCCCCATGTTTTTATTCCATCCTCATCCATCAGTCACTTAGAAGTATAGGCACAGACGCTCAGATGTAATCCATCTTCCTTATGTAACACAGCCAGAAAAGTCCATCTGGAGACCACTCTGGCATGGTGGAAAATCTCCACATGGTTTAGCACTAAACCAGCTGACTTTTCCTCTGCTCTGCCTCCTTGCCAAGTTGTATTTCCAGATTTGAAAAGCCTGTGTGAGGAGATATGCCTTATTCATGATGATAAAGCATGGTGCGACACAATGGGTCTCTCAGCAAAGCAGGGCTGTGCTCTCACTCAGCATGGGCCAGCTTTAGAGTCTCACCATCAAGAATCCTTTAAGGCTTTATAGCCTTTGAGTAAGACAAACACCAAAGGCTCAATAACACCAGGCCTTAAAACAAAGTGCTTGTGTATCTTTCTAGTCATCTTGCTCTTGTAGTTGTACGCTGCTGTGTTCACTGGCTTTTTCATAATACTGTTACTGAGTAAGCTGGAGAACAACAAGGTGGGCAGTAGCTTTTGTACTGTTCTGCAGTGGTGTAGCCCACCATCAAAAGGTGCCATACGCTCACTCTGCTGTATGTGGGAACATCAGGTATTTGCAAATCATAAGGCTTCATCAGTATTTCCCAAAACATGACTCTCAAAAAAATAAATCAACAGGCATTTAAAAAACAACTTCATCACTTCTGTCAGTCCTCCTCCATTTCTGCAAGTGCTTTTGTGGGTGCTGATGTTTCAG